ATCATGAGGAGCCAGTGTAAATACTGTCCTTCATTATGACAGCTGAATACTTACTGCAGAGGTTGGACCAGAGCAGAACCGCATGGTGTAAATTGAGGGTTAAGTTCTATCTTCCTCTGGGCCTGACAAGGTCCAGGCTCACTCTGAGCCCCAACATGGGGCCCGGGCCGGGGGCGTGCCGCCCTCCCAGCCCCCCAGAAGCTCCGCCCCTGCCCACAGACCAAAAACATGACTGTTAGGCTAACTGATAACTCAAAATTGTCTCTAGGTGTGAGTGAGAGAGTGAATGGTTGTTTGTCTCGTTTGTCTCTATGTGTGGCCCTGTGATGGACTTGCGACCTGTCCAGGGTGTACCCCGCCCCTCGCACTGTGACTGCTGGATATGGGCACCAGTGATCCACGCAACCCTGAAAAAGAAGAAGCGTGTACAGAAAATGGATGAATGGATGGATGGAGAACAGGTGCTCTGGGTCATGCAACCACAGACCCTGCACAGAGCAAGGATCATCCTCATGAAGACATCATGAGGAGGCGCAACCCAAAAAAACTAAAAATGAGAAAATGAGGAAAAAAGCAAACAAAACATCCTATTATATCAACAATGTGAAACACCATGGTGTTTATAAAAAATGATGACAGTAAACTTCAGGAAACACCCCGAACGACTCACTCTAACAACATCTGGCAACCCGGTATCCATTGCAGAAAACTTCAAGTTTCTGGGAACCATCACATCCCAAGACCTGAAGTGGGAGACCAACATCAGCTCCATCCTCAAGAAAGCCCAACAGAGGATCTACTTCCTGCAGAAACTAAGGAAGCTGGGTCTGCCGCAGGAGATGCTGATCCAGTTCTACAGAGCGGTCATAGAATCACAAAATCTGTCCTGTGCACATCCATCACAGTCTGGTTCGGAGCAGCCACCCAGCAGGACAAGAACCGACTGCAACGAACAAGCAGATCAGCTGAGTGAGTCGTTGGTGCTCCCCTCCCATGCTTCAGGACCTGTATACCTCAGGAAATGGGCAGAGAAAATCATGTCAGACTCTACACACATCCAGTACATAGCCTTTTTCAGCTTCTCCCCTCCAGCAGGCGGCATGGAGCCTCATGCCCAAAAACATCCAAACACAAAAACAGCTTCTTCCCTCAGGCAATCTCCCTGATGAACAATCCCAAACACTAGACCTGCTAACTAGTGCCTGACCCCCCCTTTTGACCACACACTCACCCCGTGTACGCTTACTGACTATAATGTTTATGTCTTATGCTGTGCTTCCGTTACTGTGCA